TATAGTGGACATAACTAAAACTCTAAGCTTTCCTGCCATAATTTCAAAATGACTGAATTTCATACAGGGTAGTAGAAATTTAATGCCGAATTTAGGCAACTTTAAACAATCTTAATTTTTTTTTTAAATGGAACACCCTGTATATTTTTGCGCAACTTGATGAACAATTATATAAGATTTTCCAAGAATTTTCCGCAATTTTTCTTTCGCTAATTCACTTCTGTTATATAAAAGCGAAGTGATTATTATTTGGACTCCAAAATATTAATTTTCACTAAATCTGTACTTCATTTAAAAAAATACAGGAAAACTACTAGAAAAATCGAAATTTTTACATAGGGTCAATTTTGTAGGAAATTTAATTTTGAACACTTTTTTTCGAAAAAATGCATGTTCATTGAGATATTTGCAGTTTTTGATAAAAAATGCTGGTGGTTGCTACGTGACACATGCTTTTTGCCCTAAAAACCTATACTGTTCTATAAAAAAATCTCAGAGTAAAAAAGTTCGCTCATTTGTCCCTTATTTTCCTGGACTAATTACATTATTTCTTGATTTTGTTCATTTTTGGGGCCTACATTTTGTACCATACTTGTATGTAACACGTTCATAAATTCTAAATAAACATATAAATAAATAAAATATATATCAGTAGCGGCGTAGGTTAGTACATATATTTTTATCTATTGCTTTAATTGACAGTTTTCTTACAATTGTATGAAGCCAAAGTGATAATAGAACCAAGGACTGATATATTACTGTACCTTTATCATTTATACTTTATAATTACGTGAAAAACAGTTTCCGGTGTCACCGAATTGCGGAAAATGTTGAATGCAATTTCTGTTTTATGTATAGGAAGTTGATACCGTCTTGCAAGAAATTGCAATAAAATTTCAGCACATTTTGAGTGGAAAACAATTGATCTGCAAATAATTTTCGAGCATGTAAAATATTTTTAAGGTCCAAAAAGACGTCGTCAGGTAAATTTAAAATGTTTCTTTAATCAAATAAATAATCGTCTTACAATTATTTTTTTAACCTTCACTTTAAGTCTTGTTAATGACGCCACTGGGTGGCCTAAACTTGGCCACCAGAAATTATCCTGATAAGTTGTATCAGTGCACTATCAGCGTTGCCGCTGTTTTTTAAATCAATGGGGGCTAGCCTCCTCCGTTCAGTTAGGCTGCGTGTATACGAATGAAGTGAAGTGAAACGAGTGAAAGAGGATGCTGGTACCGGTATTTCAAAATATGTTATATTTCAGTTTTCACCGTCTGTGATGGTGGTGACAATTTTTTTTTGCAGTAATGCCATGTTATACAGGGTGGTCCAATTTATTTATTAATTGTTGCCAAACGGCTATAGTCTGTTTAGAAATGAAAGAGAGTAATAAAAGCTTATTATGTATGCAAATCGTAAATAAATGTAGTACTGGTACTTATATTCAATATTTTTATATTATGTATTATCGGTATAGGATGAGGTGTACTTTTAAAAAAACTTTGTGCGATCG